CCCCGGCCGCACCGACACCCCTTCCGGCAACTTGCAGCTTAGCCGTCCTCGCGCTCGCTTGCCATCCTCCCCTCCCCTCCCCTCCCCTCCCCTCACCGATCTTCCTCTCCCTACTCCGCGCGCGCGTCAACGTGCTCCCTCCTGCCATCTTTCTCTGGCACCCTCTAATTTATCCGCTCGCCCCGTTCTAGCCAGCGCACTGCCGGCCTTCCCCTCTCCCTCGCTCGCACCCCGCGCGCAGTCGAGCTATCGCGCGCGGCGCGCAATAACTACCCCCGTGACTCTCGAAGCGTGACTCCGAACCGTCCTTTCTCTCTGTCTTACTCCTCGCCGATCTGTCTCGTTCTCCCTCTTTCTTGTCTCCCTCCCCCCACCCCCCCTCTGTCGCGCCCCTCGCGCTTCTACCCTCGCGCTCCTACCCTCTCGTATCACCGCGTACGAGCGAACAAACGCGCGCGAGTGTGTACACGTATATGTGTGAGCCGCGAGGGCTAAGTGTGTGCGTTTACGCGTGTGTGCGAGAACGAGTCGTTTCTCCTCCGTCCGTGTGACCTGCGGTTTCTCCGACGTTTTCCTACCCTTAGTATAGCGCGGGCACAGTGCATCCATCGGCCGCGGCCCGTCACTCGCCGCGAAGCGTATCGCAGGACACGAGGGTGCTTGCGCGACGCTCTCTCTCTCTCTCTGTCTCTCTCTTTCTAATGTGAACGCGCAACCGTTGTCAGCACGCGCCGACGCTCTAACGACACGCGCGCGAGTCGAAATTCCGACGCGACGCGACGCGGATACAGCGTCGTCGCTCGCACGGACCGATACGATATTTCTTAGCAACTTGCGAACTCTCCGAACGTCCGAACGGCTGGGACGCACCGAGTCTGAGTTCTTTCCGAGTTTTTCGTCTCCCCGACGGAAATCGTCGTGCGAAAAAATCGCGCGGTTTCGGTCACCAAGTCCAGAAGTACCCTGCGCGAGGTAATCCTGAAGTGAACCGCGCGCATCACGATTACAACTTTCCCGCGATGACGACCGATACCGGTGCCGGTTTCCACCATCGGTTTTGTGAGGAGTGATCGACGATCAGTGAGAGTGATCGAGAAAATTTCAGTGACGGCACGACAGGGCATCTCGTCTCCTCGGTGTTACTCACGCGGGAACGTTTTACGCTTACGCGGGTGGACGCGGGTAAAGAGCGGAAAGCGAAAAGGAGAGGAGAGGTTACGTATCAGGCTCTGGAACGGAGCCATGTAGTGGTGAAAAAGGAGAGAGTAAGAGAGAAAGGGGGAGAGAGGTGAAGATAGAAAGAGGGGGTGTGGTAGGAAGGTGGCGGAAGGACGATAGGGGGAGAGGGCGACTCCGCGAAGGGTGGTGGGCCGTCCAAGTGTCTTGTCTCCTATCATCCTGTCGTCCAGGGTATCGCTTACGAATGTCGCGCGATCGAGCGATCCGTCTGCGATCCACGACGACGACGACGACGACGACGACGACGACGACGGCGCGCGAGGACGACGTCCTGGCGACGGTCGCGCATCGACTACCGATGAGTCGCGCGATCAGCCTCGTCTGAGAGACGTCAACGAGACGGCAACGCGCTCCACGTACCTGTGTGTGACATCCTGATATGCGATTGTCCGGGGTGGACAGTCGCCGGGTCGCGTCGCGCAAAACGACGCCGGATACGACCGCCGCTTAACCGCCGACCGGTCGACGTCGGGTCGGGTACGACCCTTAATATAATATACGAGTACGCCGAAGGAGTCGGCTCGATCATCGCGGGAACGGAAGCTTCGACCTTGTTCGAAAAGGGTCGCGTCGGGCTAGCTGTGCTAGCCACGGAAGAAGTGCCGCAGCGAGGAATCTCCCCCGACGGGCCGCCGGCTCGAAGGATGTCCGGCGAAACGGAGATCGAGGTGTCGGTTGTGTCGGAAGAGGATCTGGAGCTGGAGGGCTCCAGGAGCAGCTCCACACCGGCGGAGCTGCTGTTGCAGGAGAAGAACGGCAAGTCTGGCTGCGGGCTGAGCAATCACCACCACTCCTTCAGCTTTGACACCGTGAGCAAGCCGGCGCTCAGGCCCGCCTGCAATCCGCAGTACACGTCCTTCAGTATCTCCAATATCCTTGGCAGACCGGAATCGCCGCCCGTTGATTCGACGACCTCGACGGGCTCCGGCGAGAGACAGTCGTCGGACGTCGACCGGACGTCGCCGTTGCCGCCGGCAAACTCGCAGAACTCGCAGAGAATCCCGCCGTCGTGCGGCAGCCCCGGCAGGATCTCGTCCTCGCCCACATCCTTGAGATTGTCCGGCGGTCAACGCGGCGGATTGTCTGCAGCCGGTCACACCGGACTGGAGCCCAGAGCGAATTCCGCGGGTATCGGTATCGGATGTGCTACCAGTGCTACCAGTCCGGCCGCGACCTTTTCGCCGCCCGGCGATGCCTCTACCAATCCACTATTAGGACACCAGGCGTCGGCGGATCTCGCGATGCTGTCAAGGTACGTGGCTTTCGATTCGACGATCCCTGACTTTCTTTCGAAGTGACAGGTACGATTTTGTAACATGGCGAATTTCTAATTTTCTCACGCGTTTCTAACTTTGACCGGTCATGTCACGAGAAGGAGCTGTAAATATATACGAAACTCTTGGACGATCTCTTGGAGTATCTAAAGTCCAGTTTCATAAAACGACGTCGCTCTTTTATGCACCAAACTTTATCATTTAATCAATATTTATAATTAAATGTTTCTCATTAGCACAATTTGCGGAAAGGTGTCTTGCAGTTATTAATTTAGGTACGGTAAGAGCAAACAAGATTATTGTTTTCGACACTGCTGTAATTATGATAATTAGTTTCGGAGCATTTAACGTCACGTTACACTTATCAATTGCTATCGTTCGAAAATATACAGTTTCGTCATACTACAGCCGTGTTGACGTTATGTAATATCTATAAAAATATAAAGAGCCGAAGTGACGAATTGACTTCCGTCAATCGAACAGCTTCTGCATTATTTACGCACGTAGAGAATATTTTGAATACAAAACTGAATACAAGATTTAGATAATGTTTTGCGTGAATGAATTTTACATGTCTCGTTTTGGGAAATAAGAAATAGACGACATATATACAATATATAGAATGACGTCACACGTTTATTCGAATGTAGTTTCGCTAAAGATGCCTGTTTTCTATAAGAAAGAAAAATTGCCTATATTTTCTCCTGTCGTTTCAATTTTCAACATCGCATAATTTTAACATTTACATTTCTTCATACCTTGCTAAAAAAAAAGAAATGTGCATTTAAGCTTAGATGAAGAATAAGCCTCTGTTTCCGACTACTGTTTGTACTTTGCGACTCTTCGAGTTTTTTCATCTTAATCGGTTATTGAAACCTTAAAAGCTATTGACGCATCAAGAACTGTCAAAGTAATTACTCTTCTTTTTCTTTTCATTTTAAACGATCACGATTTCTATGACACCCTGTAAGTATATATCATACGTAGTATAAGCGCGCAAAGTAGCTTCTCGGTAAGAAACTTATGAAAGTGAAACCTTGCGTTTCTAAATTCGGTCTTGAAAAACGATTAGCAGTGTAAGTCATTCCCAAGAACAGACATTTTATTTCTTCGAGCGCTTTTTCGCGAAAAGTAGCACAACTGATTTAATTAATAACGCGATACACATCGCAAGTATACTTTTCGTAAACACGTGTATAGCGCGCATCATTTATTGGTATACACAATGCATACAGATACAATACCGTTACATTAAACTCAGTCAGAGTGCGGCAATGTGACCTTCGATTTTATAGGTTGGTGCCGCCAAAATAACTGGCCGAAATTCGAACCTTTATACTGATCGGCGATCGCCATTCATTTCGCCGCACGGTACGTCAGTCACCCGAGTAAAATACATAAAACATGTTGATTTGTATTTATATAATTTAATTTGTATTTACAATACGTGGTTAGCGAAATTCCTAACGGGCATTTGTGAGAGAAAAAAAAGGATAGGAAAAGAGTCCCTCTCTGCATAATTTAACGATTTAAACGCCATCGTTTAACGGCTAATTCAATGCCGTTGCCATTTAATATTAATGCAAAAGTGTCGGTAAATGGAGTTGCTAATACTTGCTAGTGATTAATTAATTCGTAACATCGTCGTTATTCATATTCGCCGCTCGCGTAATTGGCGGAATTGTTGAATAAATTAAGACCGCGCCCTCTCTCAGGCAATTAGAAACTCCGCCGCGCTAGCGTTTTCCACGATAAAAACACGCATTCGCAAAGCTTTGACCCGAGAGATTCGACAACACCATTGCGATAGATTAATATCCGACTCTTCACCACCGTTATTCGCATAATTATACACAAACGCGTGTACGAATGCACGATGGGACGCGTTTCGCATTAGCGATATATAAATTGCATTAACTGTATCACGCGCGTTAATAAGAGAGCATCCATTTAATAAAAATCGAGGGAACCTTAATTTTCACAATGTGCACCGTTGTGATTACCGTTAAAAAAAAACTTACGAAATTAATTAAAGAAAATGTATTTTTATGAATTATAATTTCAAAATTATAGCTCTCTCTCTCTCAATTTCGATTAATTCAAGAAGCTGATCTTCCTTAATTATACAAGGATATGAATAAAAAAAGTATCTTTTCTAATATAAGGTATCACTATCCTGAGAAATATCTCGATAGTAAAACTTTGTTTTCGACTAATTTCTCGTCGACTTTTAACAAAAACTTTATTAAGACTTGCTTTTATCAAGAAGCTTAAAAAATACGAAGCTTAAAATTGTGAATTATTAAGTCAGAACGAGTTTTCTCCTCGACGGTTTTTAACCGACGGAGAAAAATCAACTCCAAATTGTTCAGAGAAGCTCGAGATATTTTTCGGTTGATGCGGAACACCGTGTTTCACGACCCAATGTCCGCAACCCGTCAACTTGGATTACCGAGCGGAAAGGGATGTGTGTCCGGGGATCTTTGTAGCCGTCGCGTCGTGGACCGAAGATTTTCGTAGGCGTGAGCTCGCCCGGATCAAGATACACGACATATCACGGGGGTGGCGAAACAGTAAGGGGTAGCGACAACGAGCGAGCGCGTGCGGTGAGGATTATATTATGTGGGAATGGACCGACGAGGGGACCGTAATGGGCCTATTAGGCTGTCTCATTTAATAACAGCCGTAGCAACAACACCACCCTCTTACATTACTTACGTTATTTAGGAGGACCCCCGCATGTGCTATCGGATATATCTACGAGGAATCCGAACACAGCACTGTGCCCGCCGCAAGGGGGGCAGGAGAGAGAGAGAGAGAGAGAGAGAGAGAGAAAGTTCGAGGGCTCGAGATGATTTTATCAGATTTACACCCCCTCCTCGATTGACGACCCATCTCCTCCCCCTCCCCCTGTTCTCGTTCTCGTCCCCGTTTGCGCCCTTTCTCCGCGTCCTCGCCATGCTTGGCTGCCGACACGACGGCTACGATTGCTTGTTTTCCACCCGTTTACCATTTGATTAAGTTCCACTCGTATGCACCGTTTGGGGTACACTTCGTTAACAGAGAAAAGCCGCGTTGAGTGGGGCCCGTCACGCAAACGAACTTATCGCAGCAGATAAATGGTACCTAAGCTTTAATAAACAGATTTTCTTTTCGCCAAAAGTACACAGGTAATTTCATTTTCACTGAGAAATGATCATTTTGTCGTCATCCTTATGGCCGGTAAAACTCTTCAAAGTGTGTACGTGAAATATTTCTGATATTTGTAAACATCCTTTGTCTCCTTATCGAATTTATTAAGGATTCATTAATTAATATGCAATTGAACATTAATTCATTTAAAATTAGACTTTTGCGAAATTTTCGTTGTACATCCGTGATATCTGTGCGATAACGTGGTAAAATAACTGGCTCGTTTTCTTCTTTAAATAACGACGATGAGGAAAGCACAAATCACATGCAAATGCAACTTGCAAACGGAAAAAGGATACAATGACGATACAAATTGCCTGGTAATGCACGACCATAATTCACACATCACAAAGGGTTACGAAAAGAGGCGCGTCTCGCTTGTAATAACCATTCCGTGGCGATACGTAAAATTACAAATGCGTATATACATATATATATATATATATTCCGTTCGGATCCATTTACGCGTTTAAATGTAATTCAACAAAAATTCGCGTGGTGGTATAAAATTACGCGATGATCGCGCGCGTTCGTGCAATTTTCACACGTACATACGTGTGCACATACGCACACGTAAAACGCGCGTGTCCAGGGCATAATTTTGCAAGCACGCTAATTAACGTCGCGAGCAACTGGCAACCGAAATTTGTTACCGAAACGCGCGCGTCTGATAGAAGAGGAGGGGACGGCAAAAAAATCAATTAGGCGTAGAGTGCATAATGGATGCGGATGAAACGCCGTACGCGTATAGTCCAAGGTTAAGGAGCCTAAGATTCCCTCGAGAAACAGGCAACCTATCCTGCAGCCCATTTACTGCCGAGTGAGCAGCCCTTACATCTCTTCCGGGAGGAAGCGCGCAAGTTCTAGGCTCGATTTATTATTAAATCGCCGCTCTACACCAGCCTCAGGTTCTCGTTCGCCAAGGTCGTGAAGAGAGAAGTTGGCGCCATGCGATCTCAGCAGAGCACTATCCATCTTCTATATATGTATACATATATATATATATATATATATATCTAAATTAACTGATCAAATAATAATATTTCTTTACAGGGGAGTAAGTACTCGCACAGGGATTTACGCGCTGGATACGCCCGATATAACATGTGCGCTTTATGAAATTGTAACAATCGCATCCGACTCCTCTTTAATGCGCGACTTGAACCGAAGAGTTCCTCGTATCTTCATAATTGACACGTATACATCGTATTCTGAATACGTAAATCTGATTAAAGGTGCCATCGTTGATTTTAAATTAATTAAAATTGTAATTTTTAGTTTTACTAATTTTTATATTTGAACTATGTATATATATGTTATAATTTAAAGTTAGTTTTGTGATTACACTGTGAAAAATAATCTAAGGTTGAGGTCAAAACATTTGTCGATTCTTGTTAATATAATTTTGAATTTGTTGTACAAACACTTAGTTTAGCTTACAGTCTCCTTTCTTACTTTATTTAAATTTTAATTTTCAAAGTTTTTTTATATTTAATTAAATTTTTATATTTAATTATATATATATAATTGTTACGTACATGAAATTCGTGAAGAAAACGACCTATGTATTTATTCTGAAAAAATGACGTTGGGACAGAGTAACTGGATTTCATCGCAAGCCCTATATTTAGAAGAATTAATTATCTCTTCATCGCGCGTCCATCTTGTTCGTTCTCTCAATACATTTCGAATTCGTTCGCGCGGTCCATTGATTCTGGCGCGGAGTATCGTGAAAATATTTTTTATTCGATTTGCTCGCGATTTCACGAAGGCTTACATTCAAAAACGTTACCGCGAGCACAGTAGGACCGCGAACAGAAGACCCGTCTGATATAATCCGCGACAGATACCGCCTCGTTAATTACAGCACTGATGAATGATTCGTTAATTAGGGTGGGATCGCGCTACAAGTTTCAAAGGAAGATACGATAAAGCCTATTGTGTATGATCGCCTATTCGCGAGCGATATGGATGTTTCGACGTTGGGAACAAATGCTCGGGATGAGCGATGGCGGCGGCAATATGGATCGTAATTGCGTTGAATGCAATTCCCTCCAATTTCATTCGGCACTGCTTCGTCTACGAAGTAGCGAATCCTTGATTGAAAAGTCACGGAAGAAGGCATGACTGACATAGGAGTCTCCAAACGGAATTTACAATATAAATAGGTATATAATACATTAGCATCTTCTAATATGTATCAATTTTAAGAAACTTGTAACTATATCAGTTCTATATTATTTCTTCTTATAAAACTGTTAAGTTTATCTAAAAATTCGTACATCAAGAAAAAACATTTTTACGGTAATAACAATTTTCTTTAGAATACACATCGAGACCAAGTTATTGCTGTAAACATGGAAATAGATTCGTCGTTCCGTTCTATCGCAAGCCAATAATGTAACGAAGCCAGCTAGCGGAGATTTAGTCGAACGCTTTGAAAGCCAATAAATCGTTGTTAGGTCATCCTGGACGACGCTTTATAAGACACAGTGTTAACAGCTGATTTCATCGTGTTGCAATTACACGCATGTGTGTATGGGAAAGAGAGAAATTAAAAATCGGATTGAAATAAGTAATATGCAAAAGGAATATATGTATAAAAGAATGCTTCTTAACATTCTCCCCGAGTCGGTGTAATAAACATATAACTTGGAAAATTTATTTCCCATCCATCTACTCTCTTTTCTATCTATTTTTCCTCATTAATATCCTCGATAATCTATTTTTCGCCGTTTTCTTTGCCCTTTTGTTTTTATTTTTCTATGTAAAGCACAACGTGATGATCGCATGTTGAACATACAGATTGCAAACCGCTTTGGGCGCACTTTCGCTAGCGAACGCGATCGACTTCTCTTTCTTCGCTGCGCTCCTAACTACCCTCGGTGTAACGATACACGACGAAACGTATCGTATTACGAGCGATCGTTAACGGCATAAAGAGTTTATATTTGAGAATGGCACTTACTGAGCGCGCAAGCAGAGGTAGAATAATAATCAATACAAGCAAGCGGTATAACACGTCATTGAAGACACGGAGGGAAAATTTTAACGGAAATGCCCAATAAAGATAACTCGAGCGTCTCGTATAAAAAATTTATACAGGCCTAAAAGCATTTCATGAAATTTATTTTAAAGAAAAGAAACGAATTCTTTAAAAAATAATTTTTATTATTGCGGTAAGAGAGTTGCAAATAAATTAATATTTCTGCACGTAACAAATTATAGTATCAAATCCTTGAATAAATTCAAATCAAATTTTCCAACAGGGAAAATCATAAAAAGGAATTTTTACTATCGTGATATTGAATTTTTGAAGATATAAAATCGATAATTTATAAAAATCTATAAAGCAAACAAATAAGAAAATTCATTTTTCAATTGGTTTCCAATTAGTTTGTCTTGTTAGAAATTTATTTCGTGGCATCATTATGAATATATATATGTGTGTGCGTGTATAGCAGAATGAATAAAAGTTATTAATTATTTCTTTTAAAAATCTTTTTATCTTTTTTCAACTACTTTATAAGTAATAAAATAAACAAATTAATCATACACAGCTTTGAGTCATTCATGACCTGCGAATATCTTTTCTTTCATTTACATATAACAATATTATATACAACAATTATATATGACAATTTATAATAAATATACAACTTTACAAATACTTTCTAAAGATGTCAAAATATACGTAAAAGATGCTTAATAATTTTTATATACTTGAAAATTCATTCAGAGCACGAGAGACTCATCGTGTGTAATAAGGATGCCAAAAACTATGGTGTGTATTTAAGGATTAAGTTAAAAATGAAAATGTTATTACATATATAGAATCGAAAGGCTGCACAAAATAGAAAACTGGGAATCAAATATGAACGCTTAAATATAATTGTTACACCCGAAAGATCATCGACGACGGGAGAGAAACGGAAATCAAAGGCGAGTCACGCGAGTCAAATGCATGCTTGATGATCTAGAGAGATTCGAGAGAGCGTTAAAAGGAGGTACCGCTGAGAAAAGTTCTCGAGTGCCTACCTACGTAGAAAGTAAGACTCGTAAACCTAATCAGCCACGTTGAGTGTTCGCGGCAGTCGAAGACGTAAGACCTGCAGAATTAGGCAGTAAATGGTGGTGGATCTCTCCACCGAGAGAGATCCGAGTGTTTGGTGTTTATACCTGCTCCTTCAGAGAAGGGTCTCTGAATGCTTACAAAACAGACGGTTGTCAGATTTCCTTTATCTTTTCCAGGGCATTTGTGTGTACCCGGGCCGTCATTTCTCCTCTCCCGTTAGCCGCGCGAGAAGCCTTCTTGAGAATACCTCGATATCTCGTCTCGATGCCGGGAGAATCGTGGGGAAGAGGCGTACCAAAGATCGCGTGTCGTTGAGGAATTCTCTTAGGAAGGGTCTTAATTCCTCCTTTACTTCGATCCCAGCCAGCCTCGTCGACGTCATCGTTGTCGTTATATTGTTATGTCGTACCTATCGCCTAACGTGACTTCCTTCCTAGTGATAAACGATTGACACGTATGGAATCGACGTATGGCATTAACTTATATAAGCGAGTATCGTTGATACACGAAAATAAAGTTAAAAAGGAGTATTCAATGTCCAATCTCCGATTCAGCGAATAAGAGTAAATTTCGTAAACCACCTCTCGCTTGAGGAACGGAGGAAGGGTTCGCATTTTATCAACGTATTTGCTGTCTATTTAATCGGACTCTATATATTATATTTAACTTCTCAAGACAATAATATCAAATTATAGAATTTTTTCAAGTGCGCGCACATGTGTTGACCGACATTATTACAAAATTTCTTGAAAAAGTGTATTGCATTATCTCAAGATGAAGAGCAAAGAATATTTTGCGGATAAATCCGCAAAGTGAAGATGTAACCAACTGTTAAACTGATGGTCGTCGGGCGAGATGGAACGTTAGAATAAATAGTTTGCCATATCTACATCGCAAACGAGGCGAAAATGAGCATAAAGTGCTACTCATACGATGGCAAACGAAGTCGAATGCGCTTTCATGTGGCGAGCGCGTATCGAAACGAGATCAGATCGCTCGTCGCAGACGGACTACAACGGGGAAGCGAGGAAGAAACACGGGAAAGTACTAGGGCTTCCGAAGCCTCCTCGGCCCACATGCCTGACCAACCTGCCCTGCCTGCCGATATCGGCCAGTCGACCGACGGATCCTGCTTGCCTATATTTCTGTCCACCGCAAATCGGTTACTGTCGCATTATAGTTTTCGACGCGTGCAGCTGCAACAATGGCGCTTAGCTGCGAGCGGAAGTAACGAAAAAGAGAGAGAGAGAGAGAGAGAGAGAGAGAGAGAGAGAGAGAGAGAAAGTACAGAAGCGGCGAAATAACAATCAGAGGACAACCAACCGTGAAGACCCAAAGACAGATTTACCGATAAACGATCTAAAGAAGATCCCGACCAAAACAAAGCCACTAAATTGGCAAAATTTCAGAAAAGTTTCATTATATAATTTTGTTTACATTGTCGTATACGATTGATGCCGTTTATTTACATAATTTTTTAAAGAAACGAGCATTGGAAACTGCGTTATGATTAAAAATAATTTGAACTAATTTGTTTGTTTCCCTCCGGTAGTTTCCCGCCGGAATGAAATTTTCACACTGTGTTGGATTTGCATCAATAAAATATACGATTGTGAATTATGCAAAATTATGATATACATAGTACGTTTATTGCTTTTAGAGGCTAATACTACTTTAATATTAATTATATGTAGAAATGTTATTTTGCATTATGAGTTTTGTACATTTTGTGAATTTGGTAGCGACGGGTCAGCACCGATCACTGCTGATCGGCAAGGCGCCACTAAAAATTCGAGTACCGTTTTACTAGTGAGCCAGCACAGCATTCAACGTGTTAATCAAGGTTTCCGCATAAAGCTGCTACTGAATTTGCCACCGGAAGGGTCCGCGACGCGCAGGTATGCTTCTCCCCTGGTCAACGCGACGATCTTCTCGAGAGCTTCTTGCTCTAAGCGGATTTTTCCTCTTAATAACCAGTCGAGCGTTTATTCGTAGCACGTCCAGCTATTGTTGCGGTGCAAACACCGTTTCCAAATATATTCTATTCAGTGAAGAGCTTTGCTTTCTCCCGAGTGGTTGAGTAAATCTGAATGGTAATAGCCGTCGGCGACGAGCTTCTACGACCGACGGCATTTATCCCGAACGTAACGATCCCCTCATGCTCCGACTATACCCGCGTCACACATAAACTTTATTCTATTTATTATATTTACACGTGTGGTTCATAAACGACGATTCATAAATTTCTTTTATAAACAAAGCTAGAAACCATACTCGACTTGTTCGTGATGCTCGGTGATTCCTTTTTCAATCGCATATTAAACGAAACTCAGAAACTTGGCACGATCTGTCTATACCAATTGATATATTTGACGTTTAATTACTCCTCGTGACGTTTATTATCCCTCACGTTTGCATCGTGTTGTAATAATTTAATTACATTAAATTTCATTACATTTAACTATTAAGAAAAACTATTAAAAGATTATATTATATAATGTATAAATATGTATATGTCTAAATGTTTCATGTCTTAAAAAATATCCGTCGATTGATAAGCGCTATAACGAAAAATCAACCCAAATTCTGAGAAGTAAAGTTTCCTGCATATAAAAAAGTGTGTGGAAAAAACCTTTTTTTAATTTCTCAGAAAGTCAATTCTGAAACTAGATATCCTTTGCTTTCAATCGTTTCTGATTTCGAGAAGCTACCTACGTCTCAAGATTTTAAGAAAAAAATGTCACTCCGGATTAATCGCACATGCATTCTTAATTAAAGTTCAAAATAAAGTTTATCTGAAATTCACGTAGGATTTACCAAACGCTAAAATCTTGATCGCAAAAGAATCTTGCTTCTCTCTGTTGATTTTAATTATCATAATATTATTCGCAATTCCTTGGATCCGTATTACATCGTACATTTAATAATGATTCTAAAACGACTTTTGCCACCTCTCTCGTTGTAGATTGATAGCAAGCCGATACCCAGTCGGCATCGGCGGCCTATTCTACCCGTCGACGCTGCAGCATCTCCATCAGCAGCAGCAACAGCAGCATCAGCATCATTCGCGGCTGGCCGCCGCGGCTTCGTCCGCCCTCAGCAATGCCGTGCAGGTCGCCGGCCAATCACCGGACATCGTCGACGCCGACGGCATTCGTGGCGTTTTACTCGGCGGCGCCGGCTGGCCGTTTCCATGGAGGCCGGCGCACAGCCTGCAGACGCTCGAGCATCCCTCGCCGAGCGACGTGGTCGGCACCCTCAGCCGCGTCAGTCCCGCGTCCGCATCTTTTCCTCAGCGAGGTGAGTTCGATTCTCTCTTCCCCGCCTCTCCCGTCCCGCCTCGCCTACTCGGGCAGATCGAGACGGCTTATTAAGGATAATCCGAGGGAAAACGCGCGCGCCGCGGTCGAAAGGAGATGTTAACATTGTTTCGCAACTCGAGGTCTCGAAAATCGGCTCTTTCAGACAAAAGTAATCTAAAGCTCTCTCTCTCTTTTTTTTTTCTTTTTTTTTTTTTTTTTTTGAAATTTTCTTATTAAGTAGAAACCGAAACGTATAATTAAGAAACGAGATATTTTACGTCTGACGTGTCCAAAATAGACTTTCCTTAATCGTTATTTAATAATTATTATTGCAATAACTAAATTATTCTAAAGAAGAGTAGAATATTTATCCATAGTCTCAAGAATGTGCCTCTGAGAAAAGTAAATAAGTAAATGTTTTTGTGATTATATAAAAATTCTCTATTACATCTGTCTGCTTGACAGTAATATAAAACTTTCTCAGCTTGATCAACTTCAAAAACGGGTGCTCTCGACCGAGGGAATTCCTAAAATATGTTAGACACAAAGAGATGCACAGGCTGATACTTCAAAACGATTGAAACACGGAATCGCTAACTCGTACAGATCGCGAAGAAGAAAAGACGAAGGAAAACGAAGGTTAACGCGGGGGGATCTGTATAGATGTGTACAGATATATTGTCTGAGTGAGCGTTATAGACGCGTTCGTGTATCTATGTGTACATCTTCGCGTATACAACTACGCGTAAGGCTTCCACGGCTTCCATCATGACAAACCAACGTCGATCGCCTTACCCAACGATCGTTTTGCTTCTGCCACCTTACCTAAGCACTTAGGCAGTTACCATTCCCACCTATGTGTAACACACTTGCACAATTACCAGTCTCCCATCTTACAACGCTAAATTCTTCAACCGTACATATGATAACGATAATAACGAGTGCTTAGTTGCGTTATTTTTGTTTTTATATCAATCTTGATATGGCTGAAAATTACATTTTTTTTTTTTTCAAAATCAGCAATTTTTTTCGAAAATAAGCGAATATGTTTAAAGCGATTGTATGGAGAAAAAAATGGGAAGAAAAAAAAAGAGAAAATATATTTAAGGCTGTACACGAAATCAATAGATTTTTTTTTTTTTTTTTTAATAAATCTTATTTTAATGGTAATAATAATGATTCTCACTTTACGAACAAAAAAAAAGTTGAAAAGCACATATTTTTAAAAATATGTTCTGCTCGATTATATTTCCGATATAACAAATATCAAATTATTGATTATAAAAATGTATCGTATCTAGTTTCGTTTCAGCCGACTTTTTGTCTGTGCCACAACGATCATTTGTAGAGAGAAAGGATTAAACATTCTACACACATATTAATGACATTTTGTCGCTAAAAATAAAACGATCGTATTTATCCCCGATTTTGCGTACATGGAATATCGCACACCAATTAATAAAGATATAATAATAGAAAAAATATTTGTAGGAAATGAATAAATTATTGCACGTTTTATCGTTTCTCCTCACGTTCTCGTCGCAAAAGACACACGACTGTATAACGGTATTTTATACAAATATGTAGGTATACATCGCAAATAACGTCATTGGATGATGCATTTGCATCGATAGCGGCATAGGGAATTCAATACGCAGCAATTATGTCAAAATGGATTAATAGAATATTAATTAGCATTCTATTAATTGATTAAATATTCAATACGGATAGAGAAATGTATAATGGCGATTTATCGGAACGCGCGGGAGAGAGAATTTGTAAATTCAAAGCGCTCTCACCGGACTGATTGACGTATACGGATCGCGTTTAAAAAGAAAAGCGATTAACGCGTTTACCTTTCTCTCGTTAACGATTTGATTATATCGATAAATATACATGATGTGTCTTTCATACTTCACACACATTACAAATATCATTATTCGTTATCGTTACACGATATCGCAATTCTCTGATCTCCGCGAATTTTTGCGCCATTAATCAGACTTATCCCGCGTTACTTGTTAAGAATAATCCTAGTTGAAGGATAATAATCCTCGTAAATAGAAAGATCTTTGTTTCAGTAACTTGTGAGAACAAAAGAGAGATAATTAACAGAAAAATATAACTCTACGAGGAGCTATCGATTCTAAGTAAAAAGTGTCCGGAAGCTTTTAATTGTGAGCAAAGATAATTGCATTGGAAGAGGAAAGTAATTATAACTTTTTTTGTTTAAAAAACGTTATATATGTGTATACACA